ACCAAAGGACCATTTGAAAAGTGGAGTGAATGTATTAAAAATTGGCTATGCTCATCCGCAATAGTTTACAATTTTGAACAGGAAACATTCAAAAAAAGACACGTAAAATTAATAAATTATAAAAGAATTAATATATTCAATAGGGGAGAAGGTATATATCGAAATTTGAGGTTCGATTCATACTTGAAATAAAATTTCCATAATTTTATAGTTCAATCGCTATTTAGCTTGCCAAAAGTCTGGAGATAGGGCCGTCGTCCTTGCCCCGCCTAGTATCAATTATCCCAATGAACATTATTACGAAGTCAAAAAATCAGATGGAAAGATGATTACGGGATTAATTCCGTGGGATCCTGTTCCATTCGACATTTTTGAACTAAATTTGAAATCTAATATCTCCGTTATTTTCTAACAGATTTTGATTTTGTCTTTCAATTTGTTTGGATATAATATAAAAAATCATTTGAAAAAAAAAATTAGAAAAATTCAAGCATTTTTCATAAAATTTAAGCATTAACAATTTTAGGGTTTTATTCAAACAACTCTAAAAAAAGCAGGACAGGTATATTTTTCAATTAATGGCTCATTCGATTCGTCTCGCCGTGCTGATTCGAATGACACCAAAATCAGCTTGATTCGAAGATTCTGAAAAAAGTTACAGGCAACTGTATTTTCGCCGGAATAACCGCTTTTGCGCTATATTGAGGTGAATTCGGAAACTAATCATGGAGATTTTGGTATCATTTGACTCATCTCGCCGAGCTCTTTCGAATGAGCTATCATTTGTATATTCTAATTTTTGACCCCAAAAGTCAGCTTGGTCCCTCTGAGGTTTTTCAACATTCAGGAGTCTTTAACTCGGTCCCATAAAATCGGATCAGCTTCTTCCACCCTTTTTTGAAAAAATTCCCATCCGATTTTTCCACACTCTAGTGTTCCTGGTCAGAAATGTTAGCTAAATTTAAATAAATGCTTTTTGGCGCAATTTAAGGAAAAATATATTGCGCCAAGAATAAATGACATTTAATCCCATTTATGTAATTGTTTCATTTTTCTATAAACATTATTAAATATTTCTAGTTATGAAAGTGGACACTACCGGCTATTAACAGTGCCCCGGTTAATTTTTCGGCTAATCCAATTCTAAAATACACGGTTTTAGACAAATACCCTTTCATTTTGGAGGTTTTTTTTTCTAAAAATTCTGGTTTTGAATCCCCTGTCGTGTCCAACCTTACTAGTTACTTATATAAATTTTCTAAATTATCCAAATAACGAATCCTTTAACTTTTTATATTTAATTTCAGTGAAATACAAAAATATAAAAACTTTTTATAAGAAAGATCAAATGTCCAGTAAACAATTATTACAAACTGCCAAAGAACAAGCTCTACGGTCAATTGAGGTTTTGAATGGATATCTTCTACAGTCAATTGATTTGGAAGAAAAGGTTAAAGAACGTGATGAGAAACTCAATTTGAAAGATAAGAGAATTGCAAAATTGGAAAAACATATTTTGTTGAGTAGTCCATCAGTTAGTTTTATTTAGATTTTTAGAATAGAAAGCTGATGCCTAGCTTTTAGAATCGCTTGCTTAGCCATGACGAACAACTTAATCAGCGAGTTAGGATGATATTGAGCAAAGTTATGACCACTAGTCTTGACTCACTACCACTCTTAGATGTGGTTCCCGTTGGGAAATTTTGCAGCTCCGTGAAACGAACAACAACCGCAGCGAGCGAAGCGAGAATGACACCCACACCGGGCATTTCCGTAGTGGTGTCCAAGAAAATTTTGCACACTTTGATTTATAAACTCAGCACATTAATTCTGTTCGTAGGAAGATATCAGATGTCCAGTTATTAAAAAATTCTTATAGTCTCACCGAACATTTTCTTTTGGTTTTTTTGCCAAAATAAAAAAAATTCCCATCCCTACAGTCCCATTTAACCATAAAACAACTTATTAGATATCTAGTAATGAAAAATAATTTTTCTTAACATTGACACGTTTTTCCGTTTCAGAAATTTGTTTGCAATGAAAACTCGTTTTTCAATGCTGAATTTAATCAAGCTCTTTATTATGCTGGTCAACCATTCAAAAAAATTACTAATAATTATTTTGGAGTTCAATATTTCGAAGTGACGTTGCAGGATATTAGCAAGTTTGTTTAAATTTATTTATCATATCTATAAGGATTATTGTGGAAAATTCCGCACTTTTTGCGGAATTGAATAGTTGATTTTTTATAAAAATTTAAACTGGATTTGTTCGCAAAAAACAATTTTGTCCACAATTTTAATTTTTTTTTCAACGGGCATACTAAACTAGCAATTTGTTTACAACATTGTTATTTATAGAGTTGGCCGGGATCGGGCGCAATTATCCTGGGTTTTTTGAATCCCGATTCTTCTGATCCTGACACCGAAAAACAAGGATCAGTATTCCAAAGTTCCCGATTTTTTGTGAAAATCCCGACCTCGGCCCACTCTAGTTATTTAAAAATTACTTTAAATATAATTTTAGGCTTAAATCTATTGGAATTATTAATGATGACTTCAATGGAGTTCATATGTTCAAATCAAACGAAAATGAAGTTAAAATTAAAAATACTGAGGAGGAAGAATTTACTTATCCTTTTGCTCCGTCCAATCTGTTTACTGCTGGTTGTGGTATGGTAACTTCTCCAAAAAATGATTTATTTGACAAACCGAAGACTTTTGTTTTTTTTACCGTGAATGGACATTTTATTGGTATTTTTTAAAATTACTATTATATAAATATTGGCACTATCTGGAAGGAATACTGTCATCCAATTTTTTTTCACTTTTTAGGATGGGAAAAAACAGTTAATTTTCCTATTTTATTTTAGTATGATTTTCCGTAAGGGTAGACTTTAGGGATTGTTGAGGCCTAAGGAGCGAGCCGAAAGTATTAGAGATCGGCCTGGATCTGTCCCAAGGCTTGGATTTTTCTGTGCCAAGAGTACAGAAGACCTAGCATTTTTTGATTTTGCTGGGACTCTCAAGACATTAAATAACATTAACACCTTACAGAAAACACCTTAAATTAACACCTTACGGAAAAATCAAATACCAGTGAAAAATTGAGCATTCCAAGTAAATCCGAAGATTTAAGAATAAAATGGATGCCGGTCCATGCATATAATATCTTAATGATTTTTAGGAAGAGCAATTAGTTTGGAGGAGGAGGTTGAAGAATTAACTCCAACATTTACGTTGTCTGAGGGGAATGCTGACGTTAAAACTAATTTTGGGGAGAAGGCGTTTGTTTACAAATTGGATACCAATTTTGTTGAAACTCTTTTAAATTTTGAGTGAGATTTGGCTAATTAATGAATCAAATCGATTTGGTTCTTGAATTAAATTTAAATTTTTGTTGCTCTAAAAGCTATTTAATTTTATATTTAAACACAAGTTAATTTTAATTGATTCTGAAAAAATAAACTGTCTTTTGTGTAATTTTTCTAATGATTAGCTAGATTTTATAGGATAAGAATCTTTTTTTCCAGTTAAGTCCAATTATCCTCATGTTAATAATTTTGAGACTGTTTACGAGTAGCAAAATTTTTTTTAAATATTTTTTCAAGAAATATTTTTGGAAATTTTTTTTAACATTAAAAACATTATTTTAAAATTTCCTAAGAATAAAGCCGGTATTTAACTAGAAATTTAAAAATAACTTAAAATATACAGCCATATAAATATAGGTGAATCTGCCAAGAGATTATAGATTGAGTTTAATAAAAATACGAAAATATTTTTTAAATAAATTTTAAGAATAATGTCTGAAATTAGAAATTATCGTATTTTTCCTAATAGTGCGACTCTTCCTACTAGACCGACCCCTTCTAATAAACCGACCCCATAGAGGGAGTATACAGTATTTTTGTTTATTTTCTAATTCCAATTTAAGTTGAATTTTTGGCTAATAGTTAGCTAATAATGTAAAATTTCTCTTTCTTTGGATAAAAAATATTTTTGTATAATTTTGATTGCAAATTCTTCAAAGTGATTAATTGAAGTAATAAAAGTTAATGAAGGCATTTTATGCCGGTATCCAGATTGTACCTATAATGAATGTCTTAAATAGGGAATAATGTTTAGGCAGCTCTACCCATCAAATTAAAAAACGCACAGATTGAGAGTTTTTAATAGGAATGCGTACTATGTAGATAATCGAGATTTTTGTTCTGCACCGGTAACATAAACCTTTTCTTACCAATTTTCAGCCTTGAACATAAAAACGTTTTTCTAGCGAAAAAGAAGTTTTTTCAAAAACTTTTTTAATTGCCCAGTTTTTTTAATTCCATTTCTACCCCAAATATTGTCTCCTAAATAATCGCAAACCTCGGGTCCTCGAAAATCTGATCCTCAAATGTCGCGCCACGGATCATGCTAGGGGTATAAAAAATTAGTGGCTTTATTATTATTTTAAAAGCAAAAATACAAAAAAAAATTAAATAAAAAATTCAAATCTTTTGTGTGATAATGGGTGGATTAACACCCCTTTTTATTTTTTAATTTTTTTTGTAAATTGGGAGAAATATCTAATTTACATATTTTGATCATTTTTCTACTACCCCTTTAAACATATTTTCATATTGAAAAGGGAGATGTTTAGCTGGTAATTTGTTTTCATTCATTTAAGAATGGTTTATTCAGATAGCTATTTTATTGTTTAACCTTTTATTTTTATTCAATCAATTTTTAGATTTTTTAATTTTGCAATTTGGTGATTTTTTAAAAATTAAATGGAGTCAAATACACTTAGACGAATCCTTAAAGTTAGTTTATGAAATATGCAGTTGACTTTCGTTATAATTGTATCCAAAGTAGGAGAGGCGTATCTCGATATCCGAATCACGAAAAGCGTTCGGATATCGAAAATTCTAGGTTCGGATATCTAATCCGGATACTCAGGAAGTTCCCAATATCTGTCAACCTGATCTAAAGTGATCATTCAAAATCATTTCATGAATGATTTTCCGATCACTTTGTCAAAATCATTATAAAAATCATTTCAACATAGGTTTATTTTTTACATTTTCGTCCATCTTGGATGGGATAATAGTCGTAAAAGAAAAAAATGTATATCGATGATACTATAACAAGAGTCAACTGTTTTAACCTCCTAATACCACCTTTTATCAGTTAATCACTTTTTAGGACCTTTCGGACATTGAGCGTGATCCTCCAGATTTTTGTAGTGCACGCCCAATTAATGATGAAGATCCTTATCATTGGCGAGGAACTATAATTGGACCACCAGGTTCTCCTTATGAAGGAGGAGTCTTCTTTTTATTCATCACGTTTCCACATGACTACCCGTTTAGACCACCATTAGTTTCATTTAAAACACGGATATACCATCCAAACATTAACAGTCGAGGAAGTATATGCTTGGATATACTCAGAGAACAATGGTCGCCGGCTTTGAGTATATCGAAAGGTCCTATATTTTATTTTACTTAAAATAAAACTGTGTTGTAAGAGTAATTGAAATCAAATCCTTTAATCTGAATCAGATTCCCGAATTACAGCTTCGTCCAATAATTATTGGAAAAACCTGAGAGCCCATTACTGCGAGCCCGCTTTAATTAAATAACATAACTATCTCCAATAATTATTAAATCCTAACAGATTTAAATAAGGACAAAATCGCGAACTAAATGGGCTACGATATTAAGACGAGGAGCTAGGCGACATTCATCCTCTAATTTTTAGATTAGTCTGATATTTTTATATAAAAATTCTTTTTTAGATTTACTCCTCAACCCTTTCGGAATTTCAGTTTGAATGATTAAATAATAAATTTCATAAAATTATTTTAAGTTCTCCTTTCCATCTGCTCGTTTTTGTGTGATCCAAATCCTGACAGTCCACTTGTGCCTAGCATTGCTGAACTTTATATGAACGACAGAGACCAGTATAATACAAATGTTCGCATATGGACACAACTGTATGCTATGTGAATTTAATAATTTATTCAAATGAGATGAAGATTTAAAATGAAATAATTTTGAAGTAAATTTTCAACGAGATTTTTTTTAATTAAAAAAAATTTTTTTTAATTTACAAATTTTTTTAAACGTACCTAAATTAAATTTTACAAAAATTCTTATCTTTTTAATTGATAATCTGGACTTTTGTTCAGATTACGCGTCCAATCGTAGCCTAATAGGTCCAAAAAGTGTTTATGCGTCGAATCAAGGCTATAATACCCGGTTCTGCAATTTAGTGCCATAAAATATTCACCAAGAGTCATGTTACACATGCACAATATCGGACCATAGGTTCTAGAACGCAAAATCTAGTCTTTATTGATGTAGATTGGACGTAGGAAAATTAGATTGAAATGTAACTGACGCATAAACAGTTTATTGGACGCGTAATCCGGACAAGAGTTTTAAGAATCCCATAATCCCTAAAAATAGAGCCCCAACTTCAAGTATTTTCGGCCCCACCTGTAAGTCGTCGAGGCTATTTATTTGTCGTTGTTCGAGTTGTAGTAAGGTTTGAGGTTAGTGATTTTGATTCCTTAAACAATTGAGTTAATTATTTTTGTTCAAAAGACTTTCGTCTTCAAGATATAAAATCAGGTTCTTTGCCTATTCTCAGATAAGTTTATGTATTTTGTACATCGTCAAATTTAGTTAGAAAAAAATTAAATCCCTTATATATTTACAAATAATCTGACTGCTTATTTTAATTTTTTGCTCTCAATAAAGATTAATTTCGTTAACATTGTCTACAATTAATAAATTATAAAATTTCAATTTTGTATTTTGAAAAATTAATTAATTATTCATTTATTTACTCGAAGGAGAATGTCAAAAAATTTAAACTGACCAAACTAACGGGTTTTCTAATTCGCCGAATTGTTGATCTCTCAAGAAAAAAAATTTTTTGGAGGGAGAGTTTCTTATTAAAATTAATTATATAATTAATTTTGTGTACAGTTATAAATATTTTTTACAAAAAAAATTAGAGCAAAAAATTTTGTTTATTAGAAAGAATTTTATTTTTCTCTCCGTTCTCTCAAAATCATTCTCAATTTATTTAAGAATTTATTCTCCATGATGAAATTAATTAATATTTTATTTTTATTTTTTGTTATTTTAAATTCCTTGGCTTTTGGAAGGTTTTTTATTTTTAATTTTAGAAAAAAATTTTTTGGAGTGTGTTTAAAAAAATTTATTAGGAGAGTCAAAATTTCAATGGAAAATTTAGTTTTAATCCAAAATCTTCCCACACGGATCCCCATTAGTGTGAGATATCGGATAAATATTCATAACCCCTACAAGCTCACAATATACACATCTCTCTCTCCGTCCAAATTCCCTTATATCTCCCTTAATCCCTACAAATCTACCGATATCCCCTCTGTCGACATTTTCCTTTTCCGAACCTTAACCCACGATCAATCCGCTATCTCGGCAAATCTGTCTCATATAAATAAAAATGAATGCTTTTAAATGTACATATAAAACCACCTTTAATATTCTTTAATTAAAACTTTTCAGTCCTTCTCTCAACTCAGTTCGTGTCAAACGTCAAGGCTGGGGAGGATGGGGATGGAATCCTCAAGTTCAAACAGATATGGATCGTCTTCGTATTGATAAAGACAAACTGCGATTAGATATGGACCGTTTAAGATTGGATCAAGATAGTTCTTGGGGATGGGGAAAATGAGAGAATTAAACGACTAATTTAATTGTAACGATTTTTAATTAACGATTTATAAATTAATAAATACTTTAATGATAAACAATTTAGATAATTTCAAATAATTTTTATTAAATGAAAAAATTAAATTGCCAATTTTAAATAGGTGTTTTTGGTACTGAAGGAGCTCGATATAAATAGAAGCTCTGACTGTAAAATTCTATCTTATGAGCAGTGGTTGGAAATTCGTACTCGTACCTGTGTACGAGTACGAGAAAATAAAACAGGACAAGTAAGAGTATGAGCAAATTTCTAAATTCCAACCACTGCTTATGAGTTTTTGTTTGAATTAAATAGGTAGATCGCTTAGACAGCTCCCACAACCTGTGCTCAAAAATTTTTTTTATAAAACGGTTCTTGAATTCAGGTCTGGCTATAATTTATTTTAATCATAGTTTATCATGTCAAACAAAATTTTCTTTGACGATCACATCTATTACAACCTGTGCAAGATTCTCCCTTATGATAGACCAGTTCATTTAAATAATTGCCACTAAATTATTTTTAAATACATATATTTTAGATATTAGGCTATGAGAGATTAATTCAAATATTTGATGAATTTGAATCCAAAAAATTTATTTTTTTTATAAATTAAATCCTTTGAGGAGATTAGTTTTTGAACCAAACCTTCATTTCTGTTAAGTCAGGGCCATGATCAAATATAAACTTACGGAGGATTGTATTGGCAAACAACATAAGTTTTCCATTCTGAATTAGGACAATATGCTCTAGCACACCCTAATTCCAAAGTTTTGGCCCATGCCATTTGCGACCAATGTCCAATTCCTTTACTAAATTGGCCATTATCGAGAACAAGACTTTGATCCATTCCATAATCAGCAAGTTCTGCCCACCAATCTTTGCATGCTTGTCTTAGTGCTGAGGCTATGTTTGAAAATTTTTTTAAAATAATCTCTGGAAGGGGGAATAACTCTTGTGACGTTCCCAGTTTTTGGTCTTTAGTACATATTTTATTTTTGGTTCGTTCTCAGACATATTGGGATATTTCAATGTACGAACAGTTACGTTCGGGACCTAGGGCCACTGGGTCTTGGATAGTAGGAATAGAGTTTTTAAGTTTAGACAAACGTAAACACACGAGAAATTATTTTTGTCACCCCAATCCTGATATATCCGTTCCGTTATGTCCGCACACCATGGAAACCTGAGAAACGATCGCACTCGACATCGATATCTCATAGAGAGAATCTCTTGATAACCGAGATTTCTAAACGAGATATGAGATCTCGTCTCAGTCCGACCTTTAATTTATTAATTAATAATTCGTATTAAACCCACAATCAGACAATCTTCTATTCGTTGACATAAACAAATTTTCTCCAAATTTTCCATGAGAATGACTAATTGTACATTTTTTAGCCCATTCCTTTGCTGAAGATTCCAAAGATTTGGAATATTTCATTAAATACATATTTGCTGCTGAAGGCATATAATCTCCCTCTTTATTTTTAGCTTTACCTTTTGCTAAAAGTGAGCGATAATGATTGTGACAATGCAAAATAATTTTTCGATTTCTTTCAGTAAGCGAAGAGATAACTGGAAATTATTAATAGGCAATTATTTCTGGAATGTTTTTGAAGGTCTCTGACTAACGTAAGGATCAGTTTTGCCGCGGGTACAAAAAATCTTCGGGTACGGGTTAGGGTATCGGGTTGGAAAATTTTCTTTTCGGATATCTGGTTTCGGGAACAAAAAATGCCGGGTCTCGGGTCTCTAACTAAAGATTATATTTTTTAGTTTAATTATTCTTTGTTAAAACTTGATTAGGATTGTCTGTTCAAACTGAACGAAAAAAACTAAAAATTTTCGGCCCGAATTTGTGTTTTGTTTAACCGAAAAAGGCGAATATCCGACACCCGATTTGATTCTAGGGTTGTTTTATGTTTAGCTCGGAATCTACTTCAAAGTAGAACAAGTAAGCGGAACATAAGTACTGCGACAAAGCATCTTAGCTTTCGAATTTTAAATACCTATTTTTCTGAATTTTTAAACTGGAAAACTTACATTCAAAAAGTAGAAATATTAATATTAAGACAAAATAAAAATTCATTCTAAATTAAAATTTTAATTTTAGATTTATTAGAATTTTCGAAATTGTTTTTAAAAATAAAAGAATTAATATAGCTTTTGATTTTTAATTTATTTAAATGATGAGAGAATTTAAAGTTTACTTTTCCTTACCTTCCATAAAATCCATTATTGTGAAATTCAAATTTGCTCATATTATTTCTAAATAATATTTACATAAACACTTTTAAAATAGATTTTAGATGAGTAATACTAATATATTTCTTTTTTTAATACCAAAAAAATTCCCAAAATTCCTGAAATGTTCTGAACGTTCCTGACGGCCAACGTTTTTTGCCAGCGTGAAGCTGATATGTACTGGGCTTTAATTTAATAATGATAGGCAAAAATGCGTTTAAATTAATTATTTATGAATAGAATAATAAATTAACTAAATTTTATTTTTATTCATTCTAAAATAATTTTAAATAAAACTTCGAATTTTTATTTAATAATCAAAAATAAAAATATTTTTTATTTATTCAAAAATAAAAAAAGCTGATTCTAGCTAAGAGACAAACTTAAAATTAAGTCTACCTCTTAATTTAAATGTTTAATTAAATAAAAATATATAGCTGCATATGTTTATGTAAAAACCTAAAATCTCGAGAACTACTAATATGTATAAATTGAATAAGTTTTTAAACAATAAAAAATATAAAAATATTTTTATGTAAATTTCGTAATGTCTGAAATTATTTTTGCTTATTTTCTAATTCCAATTTAAGTTGGGTTTTAGTCCAATAATTGGCAAATAATTGTATATTTTCTCTTTCTACTTCGGGTAAAATATATATTTTTTTAATTCTATTTGCAAATTCTTCAAAATGATTAGTAGAAGAAATGAAAGTTAGTGAAGGTAATCGAGTTTTTGAAGTTTTTGGTGACATTTTGATGCCGACTATCCAGATCGTACATTGCCAATTACTTGGAATATTTTGAAAATTTAAGTAGTCTTTATTTGGTACCCTCCTATATTGAAATGAAGGATTGTACTTATGGGTGTGTTGAGATTAAAGTGTCTCAACACATCCCATTTTAAATTGAGATATTCATAACCTAATCTTTGATAGATACCTAATTTAAGACATCTTATTATGCGGAGTAAGTAGGTATATTGTGAGAAATTAAATTCAAGAACCTACTCATTATTTATATAATTTTCTTTGTTTATTTTTTCCTTAATAATATTATTTTTAATAATAATTGAAGGACATTCTCCATTATTCCAAACCCTTCCAGGCTTGACATGACAATAATCAATTTCAGAAATAATTTCAATATTAAATACAAGTCCTAATCTAATTCGGGTTTCTACAAAATTGTTAAACTCCTCAAATATTTGATTATTTGAATTATTTGGATTTAAATTAATTGAAGTAATTGCCATAAAGTGTTCATACTTGAAAAATAAAATTTGGAAAAATTAAACTTTAAAAAACCTTTTCCTCGAAAGGACCTCCATCTAGCCAGTTTATCCATGTATTTTTTATAAGAATTTTGTCTTGCCTACTTTTATTCTTTTTGCTGTTGTAATATTTTAAAATATTTTGAACATTTATCAACGATTCAGAAGCTTAATTAACAGGAAAATTAATTTAGAGATATATAGAAAGGTATAGGTTTAGCCCAATGAACCTTTATGCGTTCAATGATAGGTTTATGTATCTAATTAAAAATAATGATTCCAATCAAATTTTATGATCCAATTTCATAGGGGTCAACCCTGAAGACCTACACCCTTAAGCCATAATTTTCTTGAAAACAAACAACATTTTGATCAACACAATTTTTCTATTTCTTGAAAGTTTAATAAAGAATCTAAAAAGATTAGGAGGGCGAAAGGGATTTTGCTGTATTAATGGGAGGATAGCGTTGGAATATGCATATGGAGAGATGTTGATATATCTGTAGAAAATCCTCTTGATCCCCTTATCCACAGATGTACTCATAAATTTTCATTGGATATGCTCATCAAATTTATTTAAATTATCTACACACCTAATCTCATTTTTGTAAGTAAAATCTTCGAAGTAGAGTAATTTATATTAAATCCAGAATTTTGTGCGGGATTGCCTGGGGCAATAATTGGCCACATCATTTTAGCATGTTCTTCCAAACGTCGTATATTTTGATTGTAAACAGTATAATTATCAAGACCAAATACTTGCCGACGTTTAGTCAAATCGGAATTAATATCCCAATTTAGTAAATTTTTTATTGGGATCTGATCATTTTTTTCATTTAATGAATTGTTTGATTGTTGTGGTAATTGTTGTCGATCAATCAAGCTTTCCAATAAAACAGGATTTTTCCAATTCCTGACAGATATAATTAGTGATAATAAATTATTAGTTCCGGAAATAATCCGGAGATAGCTATAAACAAGTATCTGGGACAAAACTTTGCGAAAATCTCCCGGGTTCGGTCCTGAGCCATCCCTATACTCAGCAACGACTGGGTATTTTTCTTTTCAAGTCTAACCACCTACAGATTATAATTCTCATAGGTGGAGAAAAAAATCGGATAGGATTCCTATTGTGATAACCCGTACATAACTGCTACAGATTTAGCTTTCCTTTAATAAAACTTCGCATCTAACCATTCCGTAAATGTTTTATAAAATTGTTCTAATAGATGGACAATAGATTGATCTCTATTTTTATTTAGCAAAATTGTTTTGCATGTTAATACTGATAAATTTGTTCCATTAAAAAATCCAAATTGACCGCTGTATATAAAATGTTCTTAAATTTAAAAATTATTTTTTACTCAAAAATAAAACCACAAACTTTTGGCCCATATTTTTAGGACAAAAAGGAGTATTCTAAAATTTTCTAGATTTTCTTCCATTAATTTAACAATATAAAGATTGGCACGATAACCTTTAATGAAAAAATTGTTCTTTTATGCGTTAATTAATCAGACCGGAAAGAGGAAGTATAACTGAACGAATTTCTTCGATCGGTTGTGTTTGAAGATTAAAAATAATTTGATTAATAATTTTATCGGTGTCTTCTAAATTTAAATTTTCTTTATATTCTTTGCTTAAAGGGATATAATATGGAACTTCAACAAAAAGCAAATCAAAATCATAACCATAATATTTAAGCTTTAATAAAGGAACTCGACCGCCAACTTTGAATAATGATGTAACACCATCCATCTTTAAAATTATAAATAATATTTTTATTTTCGTATATGTACAGTCTAACATATACCTAGATAAACTCAGGACTGCAAATTATAATCGTAGAAGTGTGAGTTAACCTAAATAGAGGTAACACGTTTGCCTGATTATCTAAGACTAGGAAATTTTTGTTACGCATATTGTTAATGATCATGATATCCGATGAATTCCTAAGTATTAACAATCCTATAGTGTATGGTTATGACATTTTACAGCATTGAATAACCAACAAAATTTTAAAACATACTAGGTATCTTAAATTGAAGCGTGCCTAATAATGGGTGTATCGGATTCCACTATACATATTTAAATAATTACCCTTCTAATTATATTATATAATGAATTTTCATTAAAAACCAAATTATTTGTATAAATTTCATTAATATTGTCATAATTCGGCAATAATACAATCATATCAATATCCGACTCAGGCGTGAGAGATTTGAATATATACGAACCAGAAATAAGTATAAGAGATTCTGGACGCTAAAATATATTTTTTAAAGTTATCAACTTATAATTAAATTATATTTTATTTCTAAATAATTATTACCCATCCATAAATGATTGATTTAAATGATAAGATTGTTTCTTCGAGTGGATATATTTTACTATTATTTGTAGGTATTAATTGAATTACTGCTTCAAACTAAGAATATTAAAATATGAAAAAAATTTTTGAAAATGTTTTCTTGATAGCAGTTTTTCTGTTCTTAGGGTCATTTCTTAGTGTAAAAAATAGTACCGGTATGACGAAAAAATTGTTGCCGAAACAATTTTAAAATATTAATCATATAAATATAGATCATTAAGGTGGAAACGAGAAAGTCATTTTAAAAAGTGGAAGACGAAAGGCAAAAAAAGATGAAAATATAAGTAATTATTGAAAAAATTATTTGAAATAATTTACCAAAAGTTTCCTTTCATTTTCTAATTTTACTTTTAATTTTGTATTTTTATATTTTTCTAATTTTGCTTTAAATAAATTGCAATTAAAATTATTGAACTTGTTATTCTTAATATTTTGCCATTCAACTTTTAATTTATTAAATTCTTCTGATTTATTATTTGATGAAATTATACTTTCGATATTTTGAAATAATTTATTTATTTCATTTAAGCAACAAATATTTTGCTAGAAAAATATTCATTTATAAAAAATTGAATAAACATAGGTTATCGGTTTCAAACAAACCAAAAAATCCGAAAATTTTAAGGTCAGTTTCGGTTAACTGAAGAATCTTGTGAGACCAACACCCATACCTATCATGAATAACGGATCCCAAATTTAAGGCATTACCAGTTAGCCATGCCCCCTAGTTAGCCATGACCCTATTGCCAAGCAAATTTCAAAAAAACTATTTAGATCAACTCATAATATTGTCTAATGATTTTATAAAGTCAAGAATTTTACCTTATTTTTATATTTCATAATCTTTTGTTTGACACTTAATTTGTGTTTTTTGTTAAATTTTAATTTTTCGTCTTTATTTTTCTTCATTATACTTTTTAAGTCATTAATTTTAATTAAATCTGATTGAAAATAAAATTATTGTTTTAATTTTAGTAAATTTATGGAGTTCACACAAAACTTAGTTTTTAAAACAAAAATTATAACTATCGAAGGATTTTTCACATAATGGAAACCGGGCTAACGTTGTATGTATAACGGGATGTGTCAATAATTTTAAATAAAAATCAAAATCACCTTCATTTTTATTTGAAGTCATCTCATTATTTGTATCGCCCAATAATTTTTTTTGAATATTAGGCAAACTATTTTCCATTATTTTAATATTTGAATTGGTAAATCCAAGTCCGTCATCTTCGCTATTTGGCAATAAACAATCACCTACTTCTTCATTTTTTGAATTGCCAATTTCAACGCTGGAAATAATTAATAAATTTTTAATACATAGATTTATTCATGATATTTATTATATTTCACTTGATTTCCCGCAACTATGGGCTGAAGATTATAAAGGCATATCGTTTAAAAAATAATATATTGACAAGTAAACTTAAATGAAGAATAGTTCTAGATGATACATCTCCCATGCCATTACGCTCTTACTTCGGGACCTAGAGATTTACTTAATAGAGAGATACTAAGATACTACTTACTTTTCCTTGATTTTATTATCTGGTTCATTTTCCTTATCCTCTATCTTTTTCAAATTATTTGACTTTATTTTCCTAGATTTATTTTTCCTATTGTTTTTCTTATTTCGGCCATTCGTCTTGAGAGTGTTGGCTTCATCATTCTCTTCAGTCTTCTTTTCTTCTTCCTTCTTCTCTTCATTATTCCTACAAGTCTTTCTTCGCTCTTTTTCTTCGCCATTTTTTTTCATTTCATTATTCACTCGAATCTTACTGTCCTCTTCATTAGTCTTCTTTTCTTCCTTATTCACTTCAATCTTCTTACCTTCTTCTTCATTTTTCTTCTCTTTAATATTTCCTCCATTCTTCTCTTCTTTTTCTTCAATGCTTTTCTCTTCATTATTCCTTTGTGCCCTCTTATCTTCTAAATGTTCGATTTTTACCTTATTATCCTCTTCCATATTATTTTCTTCGTTCTTATTCCCCACTTCCTCCCCCTCAATATTAACTATATTTTTATCTTCATTTAATTCAACTACATTTTCCTTCACCTCCACATTTTTTCCTTTGTTCTTCTTAGATTTTTTCTTATTTTTTGAATTATTATTTTCTTCCTTGATTTCTTTAAACTCTTCTAAATTTTCTTTATTATTTTTTAATTCAACATCTCTACAAATACTTCCTTTAACCATTTCTTTATTTTCTTGGATTATTTCGTTTTGTTGATTACACTGATTTTCTTTTTTTATTTCTAATCGTAACTCGTTAGGTTTAATTTTAATTTTTAAAACATCAAAAATATCTTTTATATTAGTTTCATCAAGGTTGAAGGCTGAAGCAAATTTATCTATGTCAATTTTGTGAGAATTAATATCTAAAAAATTTATTTTATTTTACATATAACAAATATACTTCAATTATAAATTATACAAAAGAAAACTTCAATATTAACTCGCTATATTATTTCTTCATAGTTGTTTAAATCACAAGCATAAGTTCATTTAAGTTATATAAGAATAGTTACTTTATGCTTTGCATTCTAATAGTGATAGGACCGAGGCGATATCTCGAACAATATTCGCTTATCGAAATCGTATTTTCGAGATACGACTCCCACAGTTCAGTCTCTATTCCATTATACTATTTGGATTGAGAAATAAAATTATTAACATCTAATCTAGGTAAATTTGATTTTTCGGCTAATAAACATAGCTAGACTCGTTTGAGTTGGCGTAATCTAGTATTTGCTTTGTTGAATCCCTTATCCCATCAAATTAACAAACTTTAAATTTAAAAATTAATTACCTTCCTTCAATCTATCCAAAAAATAATTAATTTCTTTTACTTGTTCCTCCATATTAGTATCATTACTATCCTTAATTTTCTTCCCTTTTCGATCAACATTTTCTATTATCTCAATTTCTTTAAATAATTCATCTTTCATTAAGGTTTTTATCCAATTTATAAAGATTTTTTTATTTTTCTTTTTTCGCCATATATTATTTAATTTTTCATCTTTATCTAGTCTTATTATATCCAGGCGACGTATTAATTCTTTATATAAATCCCTTCAAAAATTTTTTTAATAAAAGTTGATAATTTTATAAATTTTTATTATAGTCCAAGTCTCATCGTGGCATTTCAAAAGAAGATTTTATACATTAAAATATTACCGGTCCCGAACTAGGAGTCCGAACTAGGAGTTGGACTAAGAGGAATTTGTAGAAGGACTTTAAGGGAGGATCTTTGAGGGAGGATTGATTGGACTTGGAGGGAGGATTGATTGGATTTTGAGGGGGGATTGATTGAAAATTAGAGCTGGAACGTAGATTACCGAGTACTTGGCAGGAAATAGTTCTTCAATCTCAAATATGAAATGTTTTTCAAAATCTTCAAAATAGATAATCGTAAAAAGAATGAACTCGGAGAGCAGAGTCGGATATCTAAAGTTCTAAACAGCTCTGGTCATGTTTCAGTGTACAACTAAAACACTAATATTGAGCTAAAATTTTCTATGAATTAAAAATATAAATTATCAAACTTATTTTTCGAATTTCCAATTTCCATTTTTAACTCTCCATTTGCTAAAGCCTTAACCCCAGATAATATTTTTAATGTTTTATCATCAACAAAATGTTCTAATTCCTCAAAAAGAAAAACATGCTCATATAAATCATTAAGCCAAAATTTTGTTTCTTCATATTTTAAGAGGTTTTCCCAATATTTAGGTAAATCTTTTTTGACTTCTACACGAAATTTAAGCCATTTATAGAACACAAATATACTTGCAGCCGTTCTATTTTGTTCCGCCGTTACTTCATTTTTGTCAAACATTTTTATTATATTTTGATTAAAATTTGTTATGTTGGTAAATGCTAAAATTAGGAAAAATTGAGAATAATAAATTAAATAATTCAATAAAAATTTACAGAAAAATGGCAAAAAATAATTTTTCTAAAATTGTCAGATGTCCGGGGACCTTGAATTCGACATTTAGGCAAAGCTTTAGTTTTCCCGAAAATAGGCAAAATTAATTACTAAATACCAGAGGAAAACTTTTAATTAAAAACTTCATCCTTTAATATTTTTATAAAAATCTCATTTAGAATTCTCAGGCATTACAGATTTTTGTTAGATTAAATTTTAATATTAAAAACTTAATATTTTCGCAGAAAAATTTGTATTTTCTGCTAACGAAAAGTTTGTTAAGTCGGGCTCTTCTTTCGATATTTTCTTTAATAAAATTCTTATCTTCAAAATTTTTTTCAATAAAGTTGTAATGTTCTTCTTCAAGAAGTATCTAAAATATGATGTTTTAAGATAATTTTACCTAATTTTTTATGATTTTTAAGGTTAATTAATATGAAATCTTATACGAGAACACTAAACACTATTAGACATTATAACCACAAAATTCTAAAAAATATTTTTTTTAATTCAAAAATGGGTCTTAAGAAATTATTACTTCACTTAGAAAATTATGAGAAATATTTTAAACCCTAGAAAATTGTTAATATTCCTCCTTCCCCCACTCCGTACGCCTTAATCTAATTATAATAAATTTTTATCAAATTTTTAAAAACGTAAAGCAAAAGCAATTTTTCTTTGATTCTTGATTGGGTCTCGAACTTATTTAAAAATTTTCGACCTTTGGTTTTTTAAATTAATTTTTTTATTTTCACAAGTCTGTTTTCAAATAAATTTTAAAATTTTTGCTAACAATTATTTTGTTAAAAATAATTTTATAAAATGATTAAAATTATTTTAATTTAAAAATTATTTGTTTTAATTTTAAATTTTTTTACTGTTTTCATTGTAGAGATTATTTTCCGATCTTCTTTATTTACATTATTTTCACATTCCTTTCCTTCCCAGTTTTTTATTTCATTCAAATCAACCACATCCTGTTTATATCCTAATTTTTTATTTGCTTCATAAAGTTTTTCTGGTGTAGCCATTTGAATAAAATTAACCATTAAGCAGACGCTTATGTAAGTATAGAATGAACTGTCGTTGGCAAAAAGTTGAGATTTGAGCCATTTTAAACGATCAGAAATAGCTTCAAGCTTTGAAGTATTGTTTGGAATTAGCTATAAATTAAACTTTTTTATATTATTACAATCAAACTTTATCTTTATATGATCCCACTGGACTGAAATATTATATCCCTAAGCCAAAAATATTACTTTTTTTACCGTATGTGAAAATTTTTTAATTTTGGAAGGGCATCCGTCTATAATGTATATAATTAAAAAATACTAATTAGTTCTTTAATAAAAAAAAGTTCATAATAATTTTTTTTACAATTGAAAATCCCATGAATTTTTTCAGATTTTTCCTACATTGGTTTTCCACAAAAAAAAATAAATCCGTTTTTCCCTAAGTAAATTTCCGCGCAGTATTGAAGTAGGTTATCTATTATAAATTTTCCTGGTCAAATATAAAGTTTTCTCGGGAAAAGTTTATAATCATTTTATAGGTAATTAATAGGGCTACAAAAATACACAAAAATAAAGAAGGCCAAAGAAAGAATTTTTTTAGTAAAACTTGAAAAACCGTGAAAAAATTTTTTCCCTAAGTAAATTTCCGCCACTGTATGTGTAAGGGCCCGAACCTCCCACTTTTTTCCTTGCGTACGAAACTTAAACACTAGCCATTCAATTACACAACCCTTTAAAATTAAAACCACAAATTCAAACCACACAGTCATTCAAACAGAAAAAATAGTTCGAGACCCTTCGGATTCAATTAAATTAAATTTAATTCTCAAAATCTGCCACCTTTTTTACATTTCCTGATTCTTTTTTTATTTCTTCAAAACTATTTTTAACTTTTCCGTACAATAAAGACACGGTCATGATGAAACTTGCGCTACTCGATTTGGTAGAATTAATAGGATGTATTAGGTAAGAATTATAATAAATTATCCGCATTTTTGTGAATATTTGATCTTAATTTACAAAAAAATTGACAAATTGGCGGGTAATTACAAATAAATCCAATTTTTTAGTTTTAGTAAGTCCCTTATAAAATTTAAACAAGTGTCATAACCGAAGTAGGGAGGTAATCTTTGTGGTTCATATGGCGTTTGTCTAAGATGTCCTAGATGTAAGTCTAAGATGTTGTAAGATGTCTAAGATGTTTGTCTTTGTCTAAGATGTCCTCTTATTCGCAAATCCGGGATACATAAAGGGATTTTTGTCCTAAATCCCGATAGTCCTGTTTGTAGCTTACAACTCGGGATTCTGGGCGGGATCCCGCAAAAGTCCATACGTAACACAATAGGTAGTTTACATAAAAATACCTATTTTTAAAACTTCTGGATGTCTTTGTTCTAAAAGAATTAGATTTTCTGCATTCATTAATCCTTTTAAATAATATTTTATTCTCATAATATCATTTTTACATAGAAAATGCCGCATACTGTCAGAATTTGTAATTATTGCATCCAAAACATCAAAATGAATATTTTCGGTGTTTAGAAGATGCTATAATTATTAATTATGTTAAACGAGATTCGCTTAAAGTAGGAGCTTTCTTTTTTTTTAATTTGTTATTTAAACATAAAATTGTTATAAGCAGGTGTCCTTATAACAATTGTCCTTATAACAACATTGACCATAGAATTAGCCTTAATTGTTTGTATAACCCAACATTAACCCAGAAAATCAAATATGCACGAGAGGAGCAAAAAACGGGACCTAAAAAGAATATTTGGATGTTTTTGGATGTTTAAGGAGCCAGAATCGACCAAAAACTCAGAACATTTTATAAAATTTCTCAAAATTGGACGCGGGCCGAGTATTCAGATGCGACCCGGGCCGGGCTTCCGGGCTAAACACCTCAAAAACCCAGAAAAACGGGTTTTATCAAAATACAAGGTTTAAGGGCTACCGGGCCCGGAAAACCAGGTTCCGGGCCCGGCCCGAGTTCGAGCTCTAATTATTCCCTACATCCTTTTTACTTGAATTAATTTAGAGTTAATTTACCAATAAATTATTTAAATAATCAATCGAATTTTTGAATTCGCAGTTACCCGGTCCATTTGGGACATTTTCAACATATTTTTTAAGTTCTTTAAAATTTAATTTATTTTCATTATTTATTAAGTTAGCAAAATGCCCATTCCAAAGAAACCATTTTTCCAAAAATAAAAATATTTTGCATAATTTTAACTGAAATTATAAAATAAATTTGTTTTGGATAATTTTGAGGATATCCACGTATGAATGAGATTACCGTATACCCTGTATTAATTGTCCTTCTCAAATACAGCATTTCTACTGGTTACTAGAGAGTGTTTTTAGCAGAGGTGGGTCGGAACAGTCAGAGGTGTCAGAAATCGGAAGAGTCGGAAATCGGAACGGGCTCAAAAGTCGGAACTCGGGAATCGGATATCAAAATTTTTTACGGAAATTGGAAGAAAAAAACGTCAGAATCGGAAGTCGAAAATCGGAATTCTGACCCACCTCTGATTTTTATGTCCAAAAATCATGAAATAGTATCCTATTTAGGTCCAAAATTTTTAAGTAACTTGAAATGTACGCAACATCTCGCACTAAAACTGCGTCTATTCGTCGTATCTCGTCAAGAAATTGTAAAAAAATAGGTAAAAACCTAAGAAACACGCTTTAATGATCGCTCGTCCAGGGATAAGTTGAAACAATAATTACCCATCTTCTATTGCCATACCACCATGGCTAAACGCAAGTGAAAGGTAAACGATTGCGTACAATCTGAAACCTAGAATATGTACCTTCCTGCTCTCGATTAATTAACCCCTCGATAATTACACTGGGTACAAGAAATTTGGTATTAAAATTCTATTTTTATAAACAAATTGTCTTAATAAATTAAAGTTTCATTAATTTATCTACCTCCATATCGTCAATTGTTTTTTCAGAAATACATCCTACATTATTCCAATCTCTTAACATTTCTAAACGTTTATTTTCTTCTTCAAATTCTTCAGAATCTTCAGTTAATATCTTTGCAATTAAATAAACAAATTTGGTTTTAATAGCAGAAATATCCACTTTGTTGGTTGTGATGTTATGGTTGTGATGTAATGGTTGTGATGTACTGCTTGTACTAGCTTCATTTTGTTGGTTAATTTGTGATAAAAAATTTATGTAAATATCAATTGTTTCATTGGTTGGAATTAATTCATAGCCAATACCTATAAAATTTTTTTATTGTAATGTTTGCCGTGTGTGGCTGTTTTAATTAATTCTATTTTAAATTATACTAACTTTCAAGCGCATTATTTGTCAAGTTTTCATATTGTTGTCCTTCTGGGCATACAAACTCAATTGGATTGTATTTCTAAATTTAATTAATTTTATAATCAAGATATTATGCTTTAACATAATTAATTTTCGATAAAATTTGTTTTCAATTTTGGTCTCACGTGAACTGATCAAAATTTACATGTTATTATTAGCACGACAATCGTGACTAACATTAAGCAACCATTAAGTTTTCGTACAATGACTGTATATTTATGAGTTGTTATACTTCAATAGTACCTTCTTCAAACACCCCTCACCCTCCCCTCACTTACTCTACTCTACTGAACGAGATTTAGACTGAGTCCTAATACCTATTTCAGGATTTTTACGGTCTCGTTATTATTAAATCCTCACATTATAATATCCCGTATCATTAGTTGTTAGATATTCGCTGTCAATAGTCATATCTTTTATAGCTTCCAATCGTTCAAGTTTTATTGTGTCTAAGCCTTAAATTAAACTATAAATTTAGATAATTTATCAACTTTTAAAGAGAATTCTCATGCAAGTTTTGGATGCCTATAGAAATAAAGTAATTAAAGCGGTTAGTAAGTATCGTTCTTATTAGGGTTGTCGGTTCTTGGAAAATTTTCGGATATCCGGAACCGAACCAATATCCGAACCGAAAAATCATCGATTCTTCGGTTCGGTTCGGTCCAGAACCGACAACCCTAGTTCTTATATAATAACATTAGATTTGGATTTGGTTGGCCATTGGGAGTTGTCATAAAAAAGTTGTTTCTATAAAGAAACTTTAGATAATTCGAAAATGGGGACATAATACAAATTATCAATGTAATTTATTAAAAATTAATTTACCTTTTATTTTTTCTTGAAATTTTGGATTAATTAAATTGTTAATAATCCAATTATGTCCATAATTTATGAATTCCCTAAAATCTTCAATATCTTTAATTTTAATATTATTTTGATCGTATTTATCTAAGCTGTCTATTAATTTATTTAACTCAGTTTTTAAATTATTTAATAATTTATTTTGTTGAATTTGATTTTTACTTGACTGATTATATTCAAATAATTTTTGAATTTTATCATTTAGAAACCCCTAAAAATTAATAAATTAATAGTGCAATTTATTCAGAATTTTTCACCACTAAATAAGACTAACCATTTTATTAAGGGAGCAGGCCAACCTACCGCAGCCCATCCTACAGATGAGGCTATAACTTCTTTCAGAATTGTCGAATCAGGGAAGCCTTGGTATGGTTCGATACGCCTCGACGAGCTAAATCCAATTATATCAAGTTGTCTCAGATTCGACAATTTTGAACGAAGTTATAGCCTCGGCGGTAGGTTGGGCTTGCGGTAGGTTGGGGTGTACCCTTTTATTAATGTATCTTATGTCATTTTCCGTTCCGCACGGCACTCGAAACTTTTTTACTCAAATAAAAATGTTTTTTGTTTATACAGTCTGAGCATGTTTTAAGATAACCGCATTAAAGTTAAACTAGTGATGCTCGGGTGCTCGGGTGCCGTTTATCATAGATTCCCAACTCCCGATCCCAAGGCCATTTTCCGACCCAACACCCGCTTCCCGGGATTTTTCTTCTCACGAGCAACATTAAGTTATACTATCTACTTTTAAATTGTTTTAAAATTTAGTTTGTTAATAATACTCACATCCTTCATAATATCCAGATAAATTTCTTTTCCATTACTTCTAA